ATGGTCGTAGACTCCATTGAAACACCAGGTCTTTTAATGGTCGTAGAATTCATTGAAACGCCAGGTGTTTTAATGGTCATAGATTCCATCGGTGTTTCAATGGGGTTTATGACCAATGTGAATTACTGTCCTCTAAAAAGCTACATTTCCTAACGGTTCATGTGAGTGCTGTTTTATCAGTCTTCGTATTGCCACGAATCTCACTTTCCCCACAAATTTAATATTTTTAGCAGAAGAACTTCTGGCTGCTGTGTAAGTGCTGCAGCTAGCTGATTCTGTTTGTATTTGCACATAACTACATAATTGTATGTAAACCACTGTAAAATGCAAGCTGACAGCAATGTAAGGGTTTATAAAAATGATGTTAATATGAAATATTAATAAATTGTGGAGATTAAAGTAGTTTTGTTCAAAACTATCTGTTAGCTCAACGATCCTCTTCAACTTGAAACTTCTCAAACTGAGGTTGTTTATGGCGCTATCTACAACACGTTAGTTATGAATTGTTCATGGCCTATCCACTAAAACCCACTTAAAATTAGCTGAACTGTGCCTTCAAGACATACATTCATTCATTTTTATATTGAGACCTTGTCTTGCTAACTTACTTCCTGCTTTGATCTGCTCAGTAACTCTGTAATATTAGAATTTCACCCTCACCTGTATGATAGATTCAATCCAACACAAATTGGAAACTTTGCATTCAGAAGAGACGGAGAAAATTCAGCTCTTTTGGGGAGATTTGTAGTCGGATTGCTGGGACAACTTAGGAATGTGAATAAATTGAAAACGATCAGGTTAATAATAATGACTTCATGTGAGCAGAGACGGCAAACGCTGATGATGTCTCCTGTTCAGATGGGAGAATCGAACATTCTGTAATTTCTCGTTCTCCTAAGCCGTTGATAGAAGATGGGGTTTTAGTGTAGCAGATTCTTTAACATCTGGGCCCAGATGTCACATCATAAAGCAGAAGTTTCTATTGTCCTAATGTGTTTCAGAGTCAGCGTTCCTGGATTTCACCTCTGACACTTGCTCTCCGTCTCAGTCGTTATTCATTACTGAGTAAATGTCTTCACCTCATGGAAATGGAACATGGCTCACTCCTGTCATTCCCATGCTTTTACACCTGCAGACACCGGATGCACGTCTCCACCATGTATGAGCACTGCATGCGGATGAGACACCTTTCTCAGGAGTTCGTGCTGCTGCAGATCACTCAGGAGGAGTTCCTGTGCATGAAGGCCCTGCTGCTCTTCAGCATCAGTGAGTACCTGCCTGAACATCAGCACAGATACACAGACGTGCACTTGCAACCAAAAGTGTTTTTTGTGTGTGTACAGTTCCTGTTGAGGGCTTGAAAAGCCAGAAGTACTTTGACGAACTGCGCCTCACCTACATCAATGAACTGGACCGTCTCATTAATTATCAAATGACGACAAACTGTCCTCAGAGGTTCTACCAGCTCACGCGGCTCCTGGACTCTCTGCAGATGGTGAGACACACAGGTCCTGATCCTTTAAATAGATATAACTGAATATGTTATATTAATAAGTGGCGGTGCTGTAATCATTTTAGTCAAACCTCGAAAATAACAGCATGCTTGACGTCATGCAATGTGACTACATGTCACACTCAGAGCACAGTGGTGTGAACCTTTGCATGTGTGTCACACTTAAGGGTTTCAGATCATCAAACACATTTAAATGTTAGACAGAGATAAAACAAGTAAACATGATATTCAGTTTTTAAATGAAGGTCTTTATTATTTAGGGAAAAAAATCCAAACCTACATGGCCCGTGTGGAAAAAGTGATCGCCCCCTAAACGCATTAACAGCCTGGGTCACCCTTAGCCGCAACAACTGCAATCAGGTGTCTGCAATAACTGGCAATGAGTAGGCCTGTCGCGATAAACAATAAATCAATTAATCGCATGATAAATTAAAATTATCGGCCTCGTTTTAATTTATCAGCTTTATCATTTCTTCGTGTCTCTCTTTCTACTGAAGACACTGGATGACAAAAGGCTCAACTCCTGTCTTCTTCACTGACCCCTCCCTTTCTATTTTCTCTTTAAAATTTGTTTTAACGATCCAAAATCATGCTTTTGGATCGTTTAAAGCAGCTAAACAGAGACGCTAAGCTACGAGCTAAGCTAACAGGCCGACCTTTGGAAAAAACCTCAGTTTTGTCGAAGCTCCAAAATTCACGGTTGAAACTCGTGCTTTCGTCTAAAAAGTTGTTTTTCTTTGCAAAAAGAAGCGGAGAACTTGTTTCCTGATTTTTTTATTTATTTTTATTAAAAGCTTTGTGTGATTATTGTCAAATTTCAAACAATATTGTCGTTTATCTCAATAATTTCTGAGACAATAAATCGTCCAGCAAAATTTGTTATCATGGCAGGCCTAGCAATTAGAGTTGCACTCGAGTCCAAATAATCCGAACCGACCTAGCCGCAGCCATCATCTCTGATTCCCAACCGATCCGACAAATTAACAGTAATTACAGGTACGAACCCGAAACACCCACCCCCCTAACATTTTTAATTAAGCTTACCACCAACTATTATTAACAATCAGCTGACGCACGCGGCTGAGTAAAGGGGCAGAAGATCAGAGCTGAGGAGCGGTCAAAGCGCATTAAATGCTTCCCCTGCTTCTGCCTGCATCCTGCTCTGACATGTCGGATATTTTGTAATCTCACCTGTTTGGGTCTTGGCTGCACACGTCTGCTGAGCCCAGCAGCTGAATGAACGCCCATTTGGGCTGATGAATCGCTGGCAGTAGTCCATCTGAAGCTTAACTGAACTTTTTACCTCTTTCAACCGGTCAGTCAACATGCGGTCAAATGACTGCGTGCACCAGGTGTAGTATGGCAAGCCATGTTTGCATATATTGGATCATTGGTTGCGCACGTCCCTGACGCAATAAAAAGCCCGACACCAACCTGGCCCACACATTAGGCACATTATTATGGCCCGGCCCGGTCTGAATCTGGGGCGAGCTCCAGGTTTGAGTTAGAAATGACTGCTCTACTAGCAATGAGTGTTGTACAGCATTGTGGAGGAGTTTGGCCCACTCCTCTGCAGAATTCTTGTCATTCAACCACACTGGAGGGTTTCCGAGCATGAACCACCTTTTTAAGGTCATGCCACAGCATCTCGATCGGGTTCAGGTCAGGACTTTGTGTTGAGAACGACTCCATGTTCACTGGAAAAGTGACTGAGGTCAAACCATGTCTGGGTTTGATGGTGCCAATTATTGGCAGCCATCTTCAATTCAATTCAATTCAGTTTATTTATATTGCGCCAAATCACAACAAAGTTGTCTCGAGGCACTTTACAGAAACATTCACATACATAAAAGCCAATTAGTAAAGTTCTCTATATCTCGAAGACATCTTGAAACAATCAGTTGTAGATGTTCATCCACTGATGACTTTCTGAGAGTTTCATTAAAAACTGTCCATTGAACTGAACATATAAACACAAGCAAAAACATTATTGCTCACCTTTTTTCCTTTCGGCGGCAGGTTCTAACACATACGGTAAAATCCCGTGAGAACATCGGAGAACGTAACGATGACTTTGCGTCTTCTGTTCCAGACGGTGAAGAAGCTCCATCAGTTCACGTTCGACCTTTTCGTCCAGGCTCAGTCACTCCACACCAAGGTCAGCTTTCCAGAGATGATCGGAGAGATCATCTCGGTACACGTCCCAAAGATCCTGGCAGGTTTGGCTAAACCCATCTTGTTCCACAAGTAGAAGGATTTTCCTGATTCCCCGTCAGAACGTGTATAAAATGCTGCCTCCACGAACTTCAAACTAAGGCTGTGAACTGTTTCTCCACCTCGTCAGTCTGATTGCTTTTAGCTGGGTCCTGTTTTCACTTATCTGTTGGTTTTTTTTTTGTGATCAAGACTTTTATTTTTCTCCACCTTTTAGTAATAAGTGAGATAATTTATTCAGAGCTGGTTAAGCTTTTATCTTAAGAGCTGCAAGGTCTCATCGGCAAACACCTCACCGGTTTCAGAAAAGAAAAAAGATAAAAGAAATGATTGTTTTAGATACTCGTTTTTAAATCAACATGAAGTTGCAGCGTTAAAATCATGGTTTTCCCCAAATGGGAAACTGTTTTCCTCATGACCTACATAAAATCTAAACCCTATAAAAAAATCAAAGCTGATTGAATTAGGAAAAGAAATTAAACGCATCGCCTATCAACTTAGCAAAATTAGATTTTTTTTTTTTTTTTTTTTGCTGTTTAATGCACTTGCCACATTTTTGTATGTGAAGTTGAGAATAATAAAAACATTTAAGTGCTTTTGTTCATGCTAGACAATAAGATTTTTAAATGTATCTAATGGTACATGATTCAGTTTTAAAAAATATGTTTTTTCCCGCTTGTTTAAAGTCCTGGCGCCGTCCTCCGAGGCTGCGCTGCAACGATTACGCGTGTTTTTCCACAGCGTGGAACGGCTCGACTCCAATCAGCTCTGCTCCCACTGCAGACAGTTTCCCTTCAACATGAATCAGCTGCTAATTATCGCGCAGCCATCTGCAACTTGGGCTCCACGGAAACGGGACATAAAACTCCCGATGTGCGCAGGCCGACTGAGTTCACTTCAGGTCGGCACGGGTTCGTCTGCACGCTCGTTTTCTTTTAAGAGCCCAACGCTTGGATTTGTAATTTACGCACACATGGATATGCCATCCGTGAGCGCAGTCAAGATATCTGTGTTTTATGTTTCGAAGCTTCAGCTTCCAGATGTGTAAATTGGGCACGACAAAATGTAAAAAAAAAGTGTGTTTTGTTGCAGATGCGTTGTTGTTTTTGTCGTCGTTGTCGTTCCCTCAGGTGTTTTCAGGTCATGCTTCGTTGTTGGCTCAACTCGACTCAAACCACAAATGATTTAGGACTGAAACGGTGTCACGTACCGGGTTCTACCTACAAAGGGAGAACCATAAAATCCTGATTGGAGTGGAGCTGGTTTGAGCCAAACCTTGTAATGGAAAAAAGGGTCATCAGGTTTGACAAGGAAGTTGAGGAGTGCAGCTGAAAAACACACACTTTGTATCCAAAACTGTCTTCGCTCAGTAAACAAAATCTGAAGGCAAAGTTTGCCAACGTGTAAATATTACGTTTTATAAGGGCGGATTTGTGGTACAAGACGCAGACGGTTAAAAATCAGGGGTGAAATAAGTTGAAGACGAGAAAAACTTGTGTTTTTGACAGGAGTTTGAGGCAGCTGAAAAAAAAACACAATAAAATAAAATAAAAAAAAATAAAAATATATATCATGGTCTGTATTAAACATTCACCTCTTAAAATTAAATGAGTATAAAACTCATTTGGAATCAACATTTTCATTTAACCTTTTTAAATCATTGTGACTATTTATGCTCTCTGCCTTCTTTACAAAATATCAAACTATGCTTCATTTATTTGAAATCATACAAAGCTCCCACCTTGTTTTTTGGTTTATACAGTCGTGACATTTCCTCCCTCATCTTCACGAGGTAATCATCTGGATTTTTCTTCTGAATGTATTCAGAGTTTTACCGAAATGTCCAGCACTTTTCTTTCCCTCCACCTTCTCAGCTCAGCTCATTTCAAACCACCTCAATGAGGTTTCGGCCCGCTGAACCATCGTGCGCAGCACTTCTTGAGCCTGAAGGTCTGAAGTTGTGTTTAGAGTCAATGTTGGTCCTATCAGCCCTCAGCTCGAGGTCAAAGGCTTAAAGTCCTAAAACTCTGAATATTGCTTTCTTAGTTCAGTCCGAGGGGTGGTGTGTTGCTGTGATCTACTGTGATGCAGAAAACCATGAAACGTGTCAACAAACACCTCCACACCATCACACCTCCTCCTCCGTGCTTCACAGTAGGAACGCACAGATGCTGTCCGATGCACTCTTCTCTCCAATATTTCACTTTCTTTTTGGTCCAAATTGTTTTTTCTTCTTCTTTTAAAACTGAGTTTTGCTTTACATCGTCCTCCCTGAAGCGTAAATGTTGTGAAGCTGCAGCAATCTGAGCTAATAAATGTTTTTTAAGGGAGCAGTTGATATCTAACCTGTAGCAGACAGCATGTCAGTTTGGAGAAGCAGGGAGAAGCTCTTATTGAAGGGTGAAACCACTGATCAGAGTGGGGTTTATTCAAGAGCAAAATAACATTTTCCAGCTGTTTGAGCAAATACTTAGATTTTTTTAATCCCCTATGACATTTCTTTACAATATCAATTTTTTAAGCTAATGTGTGCATCGATGTGCACATAAAACAGGCTGTGACTCACAGTTCTGCCTCGAAACTACAACCTTAAACAGAAAAATTACTACAAAAATGGAGACTGCGTTTTTCTGGAGACATAAGATTTGGCAGCCGGCGTGTAAGAAATATGATTTAAAGTTATTGCAATTCATTATTTTAACTGAACTTTGTCTCATGGATGGCCTCAATTTACTTAATTCATTAGTATTTGACATAATGCTGAGTACTGAGGTTGTTGAAAAGATTTAGTAAAATATCATCACACATACCCAACTCCATTTATACCACTAGATTTTTTTCAGACTTTCATATTTTTCTCCATTTATAAAAAAAAATAAATCTCCTTTTTGGAAAAATTGTTAAAACACCTAAAATACACCATTCATTGTGAGAACATCCTTATTAAATACCATAAAGAAAAAAACTGAACAAACATTCATAGCTCGGCTAAAGATTATCCAAAAAACCAAACAGCAGCTCGCTTTGTTCCAATTTTGATGTAATTTACAGTTTTCTTTTAAAAATCCACTCACCCAACACAGGATCCAGACAAAAAGAGGCGGACGCTGGAAAAATTGCAAAACTAAAATAAATTAAAATGGCTCCTTTTTTGTTTTGGCTTCTGACGCACAAACTGCGCATTCATGAAACAAACTGCCGTCTACATGGATACACTAAAAACAAAAAGCTCCACTTTGGAAAATAAAAAAAACCTTTTTGCGTGTGGACAGGAGGTGCAAACTCAACCGAAACATCTCACTTTTTCTAATATCTGGAGTATTGTAGACAGAGCCTTAAATACTTGATCCAATTGAGAAGTTAAACACGAAGAGATGAGGCGTCCCATCAGAACAAAAATATTCCAGATGATTATCTGATGAAGCGTGGAAGGGATCTGTGCGTAGCTGTTATCGATCAGAAAACAGTGAGAACAACTTATATATTACTCATTTTTTCTGTTTACTACAACATTCCACACACTTGTTCTTTCACAACTCTTCTACAATTAAGACAAAAAAGTTTAAAAAAAGGCAGCTCAGTGTTAGTAGGCGTGTTTAAACCTTGGACTGGTCTTTGGAAAGGACAAATCCTGGATGACAGGAAACAAAAACCACAAATGTTACTTTCTCAGACTAGTTTCCTCTGCTCTAGGTGTAAAACTACTGCAGTTTTAATACATTTCAGCTGCCGGGACACAGAGTCTACTCAGAGCAGCACTTCAGCGTTCACACAACGTCTTAAACTGTGTAGAAACCTTCCCTGCTTCGTGCAGACATTGTTCATGTTTATGCTCTTTATTCAAAACTGTTTTCTCATTTTGCTAATTAAGCAGAATCATTTTAAACAAATTGTTACTCAGCAGTTTTCAAATCAGTACATTTTCAGATGCTTTAATTAAAGAGTAAGAGATTTATAATCCATCCAAACCCAGCAGCGCTTACTTCTTGCAGCAGTTTTATTCAAATTCACGACACACATAACGTTGTACCGGACACTTCGTGCCATTTCCTGCACATCAAACTCTGTATATGAAGGGTCATGTTTAAAGTAATCTCATCAAATCTGAAATTTGACAAAAACTTGAGTGGAAAAAAGGGATTTGGACGCAACATAAAGACGTGAAGAGCTACAAGCTCAAAGCAAAAGACGTTGTTTAGAGTAGAATAAAGCTGAAATGCACGAGAGCGATGCCACACAGCTCTTTGGAAAGTCTAGCCTCCAACACAGGCAAACGCTGCGCCACGAGTGCCAAAGGTCTCAGACTAAAGCAGTAAGTGTTCCAGCAGGGCAACCGGCAGAAAGTGGAAGCCAATTCAAAGCTGGAAGGTTTTCAGATGGAAAGAGAGAGCGAGAGGCCTTGACTGGATCTGCTCTGCCTTAGAGAGGGAAAAAAACCAAGAAGAATGTGAGGAATTCCTTCGAGATTACTCTTTAGACACTTGTGGTGCACGAGGAAAGGAATAAAGGAGTTGAATGAAATGATTAGGATCCATCCTGCTATTTAAAACTATTTTCAGTATCAAAGATTTGAAGCTTGTACTGTTTCTTGCCCTCAGTAAGTCTAAAAAAAGTTAACAAAGACATGTCATGAAGTCATAAAACATAAAAAGACTGAAATTAATTTAAAAAATGGATAAAAACCTAAAATAACTTAATGAAAATAACATATTTGAAGGAAAACCATAAACATAAAGAAGATTCTGTCAAATTATCTTTGGGTAAACGTGACGCTGCAGCAACCTCTAACTTTATTCAACTTTATTTTGCAGTTGAACATTCTGTAAATTCAGCAAGTTCCTGTTCCTTTCACACGCCTGCAGATGCATGCATTACGTGTTTTACTAAATGGGTGTGTAACGTTTTAGCTTTAGAGCTGCACAGCGTCCCTCCACTTGCTGGTAGTCCTCACGGTGCAACGCGCAAGACTTTTTCTTGTACAGTGCACTTTTAAAAAAAATGAACAGAAACGCTCAGTTTCACTTTGTTTAGGAAGGG